TTGATGAGATATTAGTTATCTCAACAACAGTTTAATTAGAGTGCATTAGTGTGTACCATACACCTTAAATTAAATTTTGATAGGTATTAAAATTGAAGTACACAACTATTCGAAATTAATGTGGATGCAACCAGCTGAATCTCCACTAATAGGTCATAGGTAAAACATGGGGAAACTGCTTATCCGTTTAAAAAATACATTGTGGACCTTTATTGTTGCTAATTATGCTTCTGGTCACAAGATGGTTACATAAGATACTCCTGCAATTCTTTTCACAGATGCACTGAAAATACAGCTACACCTGGAGCAATCTCTTCTGAAGTTGAAACTAGTTGAGTAACTCCCACACATCAAGTGAATGAGAAAGTTCTTACAGTGAATGGGGAGGAAAGATTGAGATATTCAGCCTCAACCCCACCCAGCACAGTGGCATACAACTAAAAGGAACCCCCAGTGCAGCAAACACAGCTCTAGGAAGACAGATTATAATAGCAAACACCTACACAAGAAGCAAAAATAGCCCAAATAAACAACCTAACTTTACATCCCAAGGCACTAGGAAAAGAACAACCTATGTTATCAGAGGATGGAAATAACAAAAGTCAGAGCAGAAATAAATCAAGTAGAGACTAGAAAAAAATGGAAAATAAGCAGTGAATGTAACAGCTGGTTTTTTGAAAAGATTTAAAAGAAAAGTCAAATCTGTAAATAGACTAAAAAAAAGCCCTCAAAATTATAAGTTAAAGAAGACACATTACAACTGATATCACAGAAATACAAAGGATCTTAATGACCATCAGTAACAAATTTATGCCAACAAATTGGATATCTATAAAGAACATATAGTAGTTCAGAACTGGCCACAAAACTGAATATGAAAATAATTAAAATATGAGAAGACTAGTAATGAGTAAGGAGATTGAACCAGTAGCAATAAAAACCCTATCAACAAGGAAAATCCTACGGTCAGGTGGTTTCACTAGTGAATTCCACTAGAATAAAAGAGGACTTTATCATTTATATCCTGATAAAGCTGAAAAACACTTTTTGTGTCTGAAATTATATTTATTAGTGAGTTTCTTGATATTTGTTCCACTTAAATACTGAAACTTAATCATGATCCTGCATTCTTATTCTTTTAGGTAAAGTATTAAGTTACATCAAAATAATAAGCTAGGGGCAATTGCTAGCACACAACATTTAAAAATAGATCAATTTTAATTTCTATTATGAATAAATGATTTCCTAATAAGAAATCATTTCTTCATTTTCATCAATTAACATTCATTAATATTAAAAACATTATATACATCTAAAATGTTTTTTGGAAACTCTAGTATTTCCCCATTCAAGAAAGGTCTTTACAATTTTGTTTGCTTACATTGAATAATCATATGTGTATTTTTAACTCTACACTAATTAGAAGAGGGATTTTTACTTTGGGAGCATTTCAATCTCCAAAAAAATCAATAAAGTATTAATAGGTAATGGAATGTGATAATAATCAGCACTTAAATACTTCCATGTAAAAGACACTAATCTAATTGTGAAAGGTCATTTTATTGTCATTAAAAACTCTAAGTTGTATGGTTATGTTCCCATTTTACCAAAGAGGAAAGTGAAGTTAAAAAAAGATTAAACAATCAAATACCCAAACTTGAGCTCATAAGTGGGAAAGACCAACATGAACTATGGTCTGAGAGTAGAACCTATGCCTTTAATTTCTATATTTTGATGAACATGTGTTACTGCTTGATTAAGCTAGGTTTAGTCTCAACTTCCACTATAATCATAAAATTAAATAATCTCTGTAAATTAGAATGTTTCTTTAACGGTTTACTGAATGAAAGACACAATATTCTGGAATCTGGAAAACTTTTTTTTCCAGGTAAAATTCACTCAATACGAGTATGATATATTGAGTGCCCCTATGAATTTCTAAAAGTGAAAATATGCATTTACTGAGGACTAGACCTGGAAGTACTAGATCTTAGAGATTGCTTTGGAAATGTGAGAAAGTCATTATTTGCTGGCTCTCCAGTAATCTATCTTGAATTTGTTAAATTCATTGATGTGTGAGCTGGTTATCAAAGCTTGATAAACAGCTTATAAATCACTTTGAAGTTGGCAGAAATAAATATTAATGAGTCAATTTTCAAGGAATTTAAAGTCAGTTTCTCCTTCTTCTGTCGCCATAAGTCAAAAAGAGAATCTCAGTTGTTCTATTTATAAAAGAATCAACAATTTATTAGTAACTGATGTTTCTCAAGATAGTCATAGAGCGATTAATTACATGAAACTCAGATTTTTCCTTAAAATAGGAACGTGTCCTTTCAAAATTCGCTAAGGAGTTTCATATGTAAGAGTTTTTTTCTTTTAACTTATTTGTAAAAGATAAGCAGGACAATGATTCTAACCCTTTGAGGTACTACAGTAACTTGCTCCAAGATTTATTCAAGAGTAAATAGGAAGGAATAGGAAAACAGCAAGGTTCTCAGGTACCAAGAGTCTCCTGATGCAGACATTTACCAGAAATATTCTACTTCAATACTACTCCCACTTCACCCACTTTAGTCAAAGAATCTATGTAGTTCATTCAGGCCGTGGGACTAATGAACAGCAAACCCAAGTTTTGAAAACATGTCTATCTAACTACAAACCTGTCAAACTTGTGTCATTTTTATCCTTACCATATGAAAAATAATTTTCTACATGACAGATTTTAAGGTGTTCAAATATAATAAAAATGATCTTAACATTCAATTTGTTTATCCATTTTTAAAAGATTTATTTATTTATGCATACAGAACTGGGGTACAGGCCACAGGCGCAGGGGTGGTGAGAAGTTTCACCAGAGACAGAGTGGGGAGCAGATGAAGTACACTGCTGAGGGGAGCAGCGGATTGGTCAGGAGAGGTCTGCCTCATCACGTGGATCACTTCCAGACCAGGGATTGAACTCATGCTGAAGTGGTTTTAGCTTCCTAGTGCTGTGCTTTAACCCGCTTCGCCACCAGGGAAGACCACTCTGTCTCAGAGTGGTAAATGGCATGTTCCAAATGAATCATCAAATCTGTACTTGGTTTCAGATTTTTGTGCCTTTTTTCCCTTTTGGAGATATTCAATATCATAATATTGACATTTTGTGCCCTAGATATAAATGCTGCTTCCTCAGCTTCGCCAATGCTTGACACCTTCAGATACATTTATTCTTTAGGTTGAGCTGGAATATTATAACCCTTTCAAATGTTCTGGCACATGTCTGATGTCCATATAGATATGAGCAAGGGCAAGAAGACCAGGACCATTGCACATGACTGGGAATTGTTCACTGAATAACTACACTCAGTTGAACCAGGCAAGGAGTGGGAGGTGAAAGCCAGCTCATTCACACTGTACGCAGCAAGCCACACATCAGAGTGGCTTCTGCCTAAACAAGATGCCATTTCCAGTTTGCTTAAAAACACACAAATAATGGACAATATTGGCTCACACACAAGCCATCAAAGACTCAGAAAGTTAAGAAGAACAGGGGAGGAGGTAGTTGAACTAAAAGATTTTCAGATCTAACTTCTATCAAAAATAAGTTAAAAGGACATTATAAAGTTCATAATGACAATGTTTGCTAATTTACTCAATAAATTCCAGGATGTGGGGATGTGATCTTGGCACTGACGGGCACGATTTCATCACAGATGAGAAGATGTAGGATAAATATAGAAGCCCACATATACTTCGGTATATGGAATATGAAAAGTACTACTTGAAAGGTTGTGAGTTTTGTTCACAAGGAAATGACTCTATAGAAGGAGAGAGAACTTTTTTACAACTCTTATGTCCTTTGATTCTATGAACTTTCTTGCAAAACATCTTTAAGCATCTTCCTGAAATAAAACATGATGCTGTATATACCATGTTTTGAAAATTCATCAGACCATCACTTGACAAGTTCTGGAGTCTCTAACTTTGACCACTAGTCAAATCTCCATTTAATGACTACACAACTGATATTTTCTATTTTAAAACTAAATACCTTTGAAACATTAACACCAGCTACCCATTTTTGAATGCCAGGCACCATAACCTGCAGTTTGATACATACTGCCTTTCATCCAGAACAGAATACTCCTAAAGTTACATACTGCTATTGTCATTTTATAAACACCAGGGAAAAGAACTCAAAGAGGCATGGAGGTGTCAAATTAGGCAAGGAGGTCAAAAGGTAGTTTCCCGTTACTAAAATCAAGAAATTGTTCGGGACATAATGAACAGCATAGTGCATAGTCTTGCAGATTTGAGAGTTGGTAAGAAAGCAAATCACAGAGAGAGAGTATGTGGGGGGGAAGGAGAGGGCAGGGAGAGGAAGAGAGAGGGAGGGAAGGAGGGAGAAAGAGAATGATTGACTGACTAAGAGAGTTGGGAAATACCAGCAGATTGCACATTCAAATATAACTGATCCTGACTTTAAACCTGAGCTTTTCCTATCTCTCCCTCCACTCACTCCATTTCCTAATCCCCTATTTTCTCTGGAAACCAGTATATTTTTTTACAAAGTCTCACAATTATTTTTGCCATTCTTTGCCATTTTGTTTACTGTGAAACAGCTGGGATTCTGATGGAGAATGAGAGAAACATGAACACAGGGGAGGCCCAGGGGAGGCACGACAACACCTCAACGTGATACAGTTACGGCCACAACTGACTAATAAAATGTAAGAAAAATTTAAAGAAAAAAACTGAACTAAATTAAAAAAAAAAAACTGAACTCTGAACTCCCTCTACCTCATTTAAGCTTCTACTTTGAGGAAAAGGCATTTTTATTAACAAAACATTTGCTACAAAATCTATCTTGAATTGAGTAACCCACCCCAAACACTTCCCTATGACTCCCACACTAGGAACTCATTCAACAGCTGTAATTTAAAAGTACATTCAACACACTTTATATAGATGGATAGCTCTTGAGTTAAGCCAGGCAGGAAAAGCAGGGTGGTTGCTTACCTGTTCCAACAACTTTTGTCCACCGAGGTGGGCCTGCATCACGGCATCATTGACAAGCAGGTGGAAGTTCAGGAGCACGTGTTCAATGTCATATGTCCCGTGCATGGCATCTGACAGCTCTTCCAAAGACCGGATGTACGCGTGCCAGTGTGGATTAAGCTCTGCCATGTGGGCCAAACAGCCTCTCATGACGTTGAGGCAGTAGCCGGTGCAAGGCTTGCTGAGCGCCAGGCCCTGACAGTGAGGGCAATACTGCATCCTCAGAAGGGCCCGGCTGCACTCTCTGGGGAAGTGCAGATGGTCCGTGGTGTTGATGACTTCAATGCCCAGATTCAGGGCCTGCAGGAACGTGCGGCTGGGCAACAGTGACCTGCCCATCTGACCCATGACTCTCTTGGGAATATTCCCGAATGGACTGATGTCCCGGCGGGCCATCCGGATGCATCCTGAATATTCCAGGGAACTGTCAGTCACACCAGGGTTAATGAGATGATTGTAGACTAGAGGGAAGAGGCTATCGAAGAATCGGTTGACAAACTCTTCAGGATTAACATCTGCGCCAAATAAATAAAGGCCTACGTCAGCGAAGAACTCCTGAACAGAAGCAGCAGCCTCTAAGGCCATGTTCCTATAGGTGTTGCAAAAAAGGATGCTGGTGTAATTTTCTGCTTGTCTGATGAGTGTTTCAAGGGTTTCTGTAACAAAAGCAGAGGTAAAGAATGGCGGGCTTAGTATTCATGTTAAAACGACTTGTCCATCTGTTCCATACATTAAATAAGTTTGATTAGTGCAAGCTAATCCAGTGGTCTCAATGGGAAGCCAGTTCAGTTTTAGAAGGATGATGGCTGGTCAATAGTAGGTGTTATAGACAACTCACAAGTTACACGGCTATAACCAACAGACTCAACCCTGTTTTACAAAGGATAGAATTTTAAAACAAGGTGCATGGATGGTAGTTTCTTACTTATTTTATTTCATAGACCACAACCCACTAATGATAGGCAGAAAAATATCACTGAGAGAACAATCTTCACTTATGTGTTCCAATTGATAAAGAAATAGTAAATACTTGATGTACCATATATGACATACACAGTATAGTTTTTCTTTTATCTTTTTCAGAATGAAAGCCAGTAGCTGACACATGTTAGTTACTAAAGACAGAAGCTAAATTCCTGGAGGAAAACCAGAAAACCCGCAGACCTCTTGTACAAATTAAAAAGAAAGAAAAGAAAATGAGTGGTTTAATATTAATCCCATTATTAAACTCCCCTTAAATTTTGATGCTTTTTAAGCAGTGGGAAAGTCATGCACTGAAGTAACTGATGAAAATAAATGATTGTGCAACCACTTTCTCCACCATATTCTGTAGTTCTTCAAGGATGTGGCTGTAGGATATTTTATTTTCTTACATAAGTAACTGATGCTTCCAAATCAGTTTTTCCACATAAAGAACCAAGAATAATTTAGTCTCAAATTAAGGGTGGTTTTAGTTATCAGCAATTAAAAATTGTACTTCAGAACGATAGCTTTTGCAGCAGCTGACTACCTGAATATACTGAAATTTCATTTCACAATTAGCCTAAGTAAGGCTGCTGGATATTATCAACATATAGCTAATTATAAAATACATCAACAATGTTATCTCTTATAACCAATCTCAGAGTTATTCTTAATTAGGTTTAAAATAATCAGTAGTCAAATTAATGAGCATTTCATAAGAAGAGGTGAAACACCAGAATACAAAAGAAAGAACAGTTACTTGGAGAACTGGCAATGAATTGAACTGTTGTCAATATGCAGTGTGTCCTAAAAATAAAAAAAAAAAAAACAAAGGTCACTTTCCTGGAGACTGCAAATAGCTTCTGACTGTTCTGAGACTGACTTGTGTTGTGTCTCAGGCATTAGTCTGAATTAGTGATTCATGTTATGGACAAGCTGTCTGCGTGCTCCTTAAGGTCCACTCACTGAAACCCGTTCTCCTTGTGATGCTGGTTATCAGGTCCTAAAGGTGGATCCCTCATGAATGGAATTAGTGTCCCCATAAAGTAGGCCTCAGAGGGCCCTCCCTGGAAGTGCAGCAGGTTAAAGAACAGCACTAAGAAGCTAAAGCCACTTCAGCATGAGTTCATTCCCTGCCCCAGAGGTGACCTACAATGGCGTGGCAGACCACTCCTGACCAGCCCGCTGCTCCCCTCGGCAGTGGACTTTGTCAGTCAGCCTGTTCTGCTCCCCACTCTCCCTGGTGAATCCTCTTACCGCCCCTGCACCTCTGGCCTGTACCCCAGTTCTGTATGCATAAATAAATTAAAAAAAAATAGTAGGCTTCAGAGAACACTGACCCCTTCTGCAGTCTGTCGACCAGGGATTTGATCATGTATTTCTCAGTCTTTAGAACAGGAATAAATGTATCTTGTTCATAAGCTTCAGTCCAATATATTCTGGTATTTTACCTGGAACTAAGAAGGTATCTACCCTGCAATCAAAGGCCCTGGCTATTGGCAAATCCTGGAATAACATCATTTTCTGCAGCACCGTTTCATTAGAACTTTGTATTAAATAGAATCCACCTTGTCTCTCACTGCCATACTGAGAATTAAGAGGAGATCAGCTGAATCAACAGCCAGACTCAGCTCCCACTCTTCTCCTCAGCCATGACTATAAAGGCACAGCAGTCCGAGTCCTTTCCTTACCCACAACTAGCAAAGGCCATCTGCTGATGGTAACAAAGGACCCCACATGGCCTCTTTCTACCTGAGGACGCCCACTAACCATTCCAAAATTCACAAATAAATGACCTAGCCTCAGAATGTGCCCCTGCTTTGCCATTTAAAACCACCCCATGTCCTTAACTGGTGCTGCCCTTGATGCTAGATCTGAGTCATCCAATGCCTATTCCAATGAACAAGTTGTTGCTACTATTACAGTAGGGTTATTTCTTAGTTAACAAAGTTGATAAAAAACAAAATTCTGGGCCAAAATTGAACGAAATGATGTTATCTAAGTTCCTAGTCTCTTTGTGTCCTTTCCCTTAAAGTCGCCTTTTGCAAGAACCCATCAACCTCATCAAGTGGGGCTTACTGTATTACAAACTAGATTGCTAGGGAAGCAAAATTCGCAGGCTATCTGCACCCACTAGATATACAGTTATATACTAAAACTCAATAAAAAGGAAAATGGGTGGGGGTGGGGGGGTCCCCCTGGTGGCACAATAGGTTAAACTGCAGCACTAGGAAGCTAACCGCAGCTGCTCCAGAAAGGGCTCAAGCCCTGTCCAGGGGGATGACACACATGGCACAGCAGCCGCCTCATGTCTCCCTGCTGCTCCCCTCCGCAGTGTATTTCAGTAGATCTGCCTGTTCTGCTCCCCACTCTGTCTCTGGTGAATCCTCTCAAACTCTGCACCTCTGGCCTGTACCCCAGTTCTGTATGCATAAAGAAATACATCTTTTTATACAAATGAAAATAGGAAGGACAGTGACAGTTGAATCCTTAGCCACTATGCTGATTGAGATAGAAATTATACCAGTTTTCTGCAACCAGCTACACCATCAGGGCTGTATGGGAAAAGTGAAGATAGCCTGGTCTCTGCACCCTACATTCTAACTCAGTGGGTCTGGTTTGGTTTGCATCTTTAACAAGTTTTTCAAAGTGGGGAGTGTTTGAAACATGGCAGCTGATGATGAAGTGTCCTCGCTGCTTCTGCAGAGTGGCTCAACAATATTCCATCAAGACAGTCTGGCCCTCCAGCTGCAATCTCAGCCACCACTGGCTGTTTTCACTTACAGAGGGAGTGTAAAAGTGAAAGAAAGCTTCTGTGGTTGAAAGGAGAATAAAACCACTGAGCTTATATATATTTTTCAATAACAGGCCCATTTTTTATCAGCAACTTTGGTGCGACTACGAATGGCGAGGAATGTACACATGACCTTATTTATCAATGCTGGTTAAATAGGAATGCTGACAAATGATTTTTCCAGATACAATAATGACAGGTTCCTAGTGAGCTGTGCGTCACAGGCACCTTGCCAGCTTTACATGCCATTGTCTGACATGAGCGCTCTAAACATGTGTGACTGACAGTGGACATGATTCAATGCTGCAAAGGCAGAACATTGCTACCTAGGGCAACACAAATGTTCTATAGGATTTCTGCCAACTTGAAATGATGCTCAAGCACATGATTTTTTTAAAGTAAAAAACAAAATGTTTCATTATCAGTTCACCCCAGTGATTTATAATTTATAATCAGGAATATATGGAATTTATCTTTTAAGGTCTATGGCTAAAAGGTTTTGTAAATTAAATTTATTTCATAAATTTCAATATTTTCTCAAAATATTGAGAAAATATTTACTTAAGGACACTTATTTGATGTAAAAATAAGTATACTTCCACATTTATAAGGTCATGCATACTATTAGCAACCAACAAATATGCTTAGTTTGCTTGCCATTCAAAATAAATTTCTGAAAACCACGATTTTATTTTATTGCAAGATCAGTTTTATCTTAAGTTCATTCTAATGTTTAGTTTTATTCTATTTTTAACAAAAACTCACACAAATTTAAAAATTATAGCATTGCTAAATATTTTCCTTACGCTGTGATCCTAAATATTTGTTAAAGTCAATCAATGAGGAAAACTGTAAACAATTGTTCTAGTAAATTTGATATTTTAATTCTTAGAGATAAATATATATCCTTGAAGTTTTGGTTCTAATGGCTTTATAAAAATATTGCATATAAATATATCAGAAACTGAACAATCTTAAAGCCTATCTATTGGGTGAAGTTAACAACTTTTTTTTTTAAGATTTATTTATTTATTTATTTATTTATTTATATACAGAACTGGGGTACAGGCCAGAAGTTCAGGGGTGGTGAGAGGATTCACCAGAAACAGAAGTGGGCAGCAGAACAGATGGCCTGATGACGCACACTGCTGAGAGGAGCAGTAGGCGGTCCGGATAGCTGTGCCATGTGAATCACCTCCGGGGCAGGGATCGAACTCATGCTGAAGGGGCTTTAGCTTCTTAGTCCTGTGCTTTAACCCGCTGCACCACCAGGGATGGTCACAGTTAACAATTTTTATGAACAGTTGGAAAAAAAGCCAGAAATTGCATACACCAAAATTGGTTCTTTGTATTTCCTCTAAGTTTGTGTATTTCCTCTAAGTTTGAAGAAATAACATTTGTTCCTCTTTATCAAGAGTTGGTATTTCCATACTAAGGAATTAACATGATTTTAACAAGGATTTAAACTCATCACAGTAAAAGTCAAATGAACAAAACATTTTTGCTATGCAAAAGAGTAATCAACATATAAATCTATAAATCAGTATTTATAAATCTAAGGTAGTTTACTTGCTGAATAATATAAAATATCTAATTATTAAAGTTAAACTATACATTCTTCATTTCTGTTTTAATAAATTTAAAAGTAATAACTTCACTGAAAATAGTATTAACCTATTTGATGTGCTAAAAGTTGTAGCATATCCTGAAAAATACATAAACATTTACTAAAGTTGCTTAAGGAATCCTAAGAGTAGAAAGTATTTTTTGGTTGGATTTCATTGAGAATTTCTTTTATTCATTTTTGGGTTTTTAATTTTTGGTGTAGAAGAACTGAAGCATAGGCCAGAGTTTCCAGGGCTTGGGGGGTGAGAGGACTCCCCAGAGAAGGCTTGGGGA